TTATCAATTTCAATTACCTTCTACAGAGATTTTGGAATTCCATTCATTCATTGTTGCGCTTTTCTCCCCGCCCACCCCACCGCCAGTTCGCTCCTCTCCTTGAAAAGCAAAAGAAAAACTCCTTCACTGGTACACAATCCCCCCACACATCCCCACCCCCACCCTCACCCCGAGTATACTCCACTCTGCAACCCTCATCCCGGACTCTTATAATAATCATAATGCCCTGAAATATATTACTTTTAAACTGTTCTCTCCCTTAAGGCAAGAGTTACAGGAAGAAATGATGGAGGAGGCGGGGGAAAGAAACCTCCATACTCAGGACAATTCCAAGACCTGTGTGGACTGAATCTGTAGACAAAAGCTGTTAGTCACTCAAGGATGTGGGGTTTGGATGAGATGGGAAATGGCATATAGCATCTGGAGGAGGTAAAACCTTGCTCGAGAAATGACCTGCATCTCGGGTTCCTTTTTTCTGAATTCTCGGTAATGCATTCTCAGCACTTTCTGTTTCTGCTCCATTTCTCAGGTTTAACAGAAGAAGAATCCCAAAACTGTGTCCGGCATGAAACAACAAAACGCTTTCTTTTCTTTAAGAAGAAAAAAGTGGAATATCGGTGTACAGAAAACAAAATGTCAGAGAAATATGAAGGTAATGGGACTACCACTTAGTTGTTTATGCATAAGTTCCTGCCGTTGGTCATAAAGAAGGCATTCTTGTTTGATAACTGTGCTATTTTTAACTTTTCTTTATTTGGTGATAGAACACTCTATCATATGAGGTGCTAAGGGATGAGAAGTGGCCCAAATAAACATCATTAGTACAACTAAAAAAGAAAACCAGTTATAAGTTCTTTATTTTATAACTGAGTTCTTTGATCTCATGAACATTTACTTATGATCAGAAATCTATAAACTCAATTGTGATGTAAAGATGAATGTGGACGAGGCCCGCTTAGCAAGAAGTTTACAAAATAAGCCTTCATTTCAAGAGTAATTTAAAAATAGACTAGTAAGAATACAAGTGAAGTGTTAAAAAAAATATGGAAGTACTACTGCAGAAGGTACTCTGATCTCTGCTTGAGATAAGAGAAAATCAGCTTCCAAAATAAAGTTATTTTGGGACTATGCATTGAAGAGCTCTGGTGGCCTAATGGGTAAGAATCTGTGCTGCAATCCCTATGCCGCACAGTTCAAACCCACCAGCTGCTCAACAAGAGAAAAAGGGCAATCTCCTCCTGTGCAATTACTGGCTCTTCTTTGGGCTTTTACTTCTACACACTAATCTCTAACTCAGTCATCTCTTCTGAACTCCAGATGCCTACTGTTGATTGGCCATCTCGCTTGAATGTCAACCAACTCAGTGCTCTACATCATTTCTACCAGCTTCACATAACCCTTGTTACTATGCAGATGCTGTCATGTGCCATTGAGTCAAATATGGCTTATAGTAACCGTATGAACAGTAGATTTGAACCCTGTTCTCTACTGCACCATCCTCATCATCTCTGCTGTACTTGAGCCCATCGCTGCAGTCACTGTGTCAGTCCCATCTCATTGAGGGTCTTCCTCTCTTTCCCTGACCCTTCTTTTTGTTTATTGTCTTTATTTCATACACTGAGTATTAAGTCAATTTAAAAATGTGACAGTAAACCACAGAAGACGGTTCATGTTTCCTCTCCTAACATGTTGCTTAGTGCCCTCGGGTGGAATACAAATCATAACAAGCCTGTGAACAACAGATCTTCCTATCCTGTGCTGTCCTCACAAGTTCGGACACACTCAAGCCCGATGCGGTAGCCTCTGGGTCAATTCACCTGGTTTGGGGGTCTCCCATTGGATTTCACCATCCTTCCACCTTTCCAAGCATGATATTCCTTTCCAAGCCCTTCTTAATAACATGTCCAAAGTATGTAAGATGAAGCTTCACTATCCTTGCCTCTGAGGAGCACTCTAGACTAATAGAATTGTGATGACTGAGTGAAGTGATGATTCTAAGGAGCCTCTTGCCCCTTTCCCCTTTCCTCTCCCACAGAAGTCTCATTTTGATGAATGTCGTTGCCATCACCTCAATCAGTAATCAGAAACCTGATTATTTTTTATTTCTTCCTTTTTCTCACCTCCCCATTCAATAAGCAGTACATTAGGTACAGTTCTTAGTATCTTTTTTGAATTGTCTTCTTTTCTCTATTTATCTGGACATGTTCTCTACACTAACCCTTATTCTTTCCTCTGTGGATACCACAGAAGCCGGTTAGTTAGTCTTAATGCTCCCAGTCTAACCTTTCTCCAATCTATTTTTTACCATTCTGTAAAAGGTATGTGCCCTGAAGCTGTAATTGTCTTGAAAAAGAGCCTGTAAGGCTGTGAATTGAAAGGTTGGAAGTTTGAACTCAGCAGTAACTCTGTGCAAGAGCAATGGGCAGTCTGCTCCATCAAAGGGTTACACCCTTGAAAACCTGATAGGTCACTGTGAGTCATCTACTTGTTTAGGCTAGGGTTTTTTATTATAGTAATCTGGCTAGTGGATTCAAACTAATAACCTTTCAATTAGTAGCAAGTGCTTACCTACTGCACTACCAAATCTTCTTATATAGGAGTTTGTTGTTGTTGTTGTTATGTGTTGTGAAGTTGGAGCTGATGTATGGCTAACCCTCAAGTGGATTTTTAGTGGTTGTAAATCACATGAGAGAAGATTGTATGTCTTTCTTTCACTGGTGGATTTGAACTGCCTACCTTTGGGTTGGCAGCTTGAATCTTTTTGCCCATCAGGCCACCAGAGGTCCATTTATAGTGAAATTATTGTCCCTAAAATAGAGAATTTTAAAATGTTGTATAGGAACATTTACCTGAAATGAAGGAAGATTTTCTCGATCATATAAGGAATACAGTTTAAAATATGTAACTTCAAGAAAAATTCTGGCTAACTTACAAACCATAAGGTTTTGAAAAAGAAATTTTTCAAATAAATAGACAAAACATAAGAGAAAGTTCATGGTGTAGCATGATTTGACACAAGAACAATACAGATAAATGAAGTAAAGAAACATAAAAAAATATAAAAATATTGCTTCAACAGAACAAACATAGAACTCAGGACTATGAAGGCAATGAATAACATTTAAATCCTTAAAATTAAGATTACAAAAGAAAGGAAACAATGGTTTGGGTGTTTTATTTTAATCAAGATGTAATATTTGTTTTAAGCCAATCAAACCACAAATTTTTTTATTTTCTGTTAATGGTCTAGAGAGCATCTCCTCTAAGGAAGTCCCATTTAGTTACCGCCTCCACCCTTACTCATAATTAACATTAGGTGCTCTGCTCTGTGTTGTTCCTGCAGTGTGTGTCTATCAAATCAGCACTCATCACATTCATTTTGCTTGCTTCCTATTTCATCCACTGAGCTGTAAGCAAATCTAGGATAGTGGCAAGGATTTTACGTCTTCCCTGCTTAGCACCGTGTCTGGAATATTGTCGGTGATAAATAGCTGTGTTCCTATGAGCACATGAATGAATAAGAGAAAGAACACTGGAAGCATGAGTAAATAAGCCCCTAACGACCACTGAGTCAAGTATGAATCTTGGTGACTTCATAAGTAATCAGCCTTTTTTGAGAAGCAATGGATGCATGAATAAATGAGCATTTCAATTAGGCCTGAGGATAAGGCAAATAAAAAGGAATTCCATCAAGATAAACTGGAAAAGGAGTTTATAGTCAAATTAAGAGGACTTGCATGCCCTGCTATAAAATTAGGCCTAATTTTTTTTTTTTAATTCTCATTGAATTTCTCAATGGAAAGGGAATTCCATTTCTAGGTTGGAAAACTGAGTGTTGCAAAGTTAAACAGAATTTACTAGAGTTTTTTAAAATGAAGGCCCTCTATGAGGTGGATTTATTCAGTGACTGGGGTAATGGGGAGAGGTGTGTCAGAGGCAGTGCGATTGGCACAGGATAGAGCAGGGTTAAGGCTAGTTGTATATAGGGTCCCTATGAGTCGCAAGCAACTCGACGGCACATAACAACAAAATACTGTGATTTTTAATTCAGCAGAAAGCACAAGCAATTGCTATCCGGGAACGTGAAATGGTCTTTATGGAGATGTTCTGGCTGTGGTGCATTGACTACATGCCATGGAGATTATGGTAGCCTAGACTACCTGTTTTTAATTGTTTTTGGTCAAACATTCTTCTAAGTGTTATAGCACTGGTTTGTCCATTTGCTGCACAGAGGTAACTTGTGGTTGCTGTGATGCTGAACACTGTGACACTGATGGTGTCAAATGTGATAATGGTTACCCATAGTGGACAGTGTTTGGTAGAGCTCCCCAATTAAAGCAAGCTTGGAAGCAGGAGTGGCATCCACTTCCGAAATAGCTTGCCTCCAGAAATTATGAACTTGGAGAAAAGATGAAAGTTATACAATTGTTCAGGTCTTTTGTTCATAAGGTTGCTATGAGTCATTGACAACTCAATGGCACTTAACAATAACAACAACAGACTACCTGTATTTGTACATATTTTTATTCCACATTTTCTTAACTGTGGCCAAGATCAAGTTACTAAATCTTTACTGCTTCAGAGTTCTCACGTGTAAAGTGAATGTTGTTGTGTACCATAGAGTCTGAACCGACCCAGAGCTGACCCTCCAGTGGGTTTTCAGAGGCAATTAATTGCACAGGAGGAGATTCCCCATCTTTCCCCCACAGAGCAGTTGGTGACAAACTGCCTGTCTTCAGGATTGCAATGCAGCCTCTTGCCCCAAGGCCACCAGAGCTCCTTATTATTCCCTCCTATTGTAAAGTGAATACAATACTTCTATTTATTTCATAAGCTTACTGAGATCATTAAAATAAACAGAATAAAATTATAAGAACCAAGCCTCGCACGTGTGTGTTAAAGTTCAATCCATGCCAGCTAGTGGCACGGTGGTTTATTCCGTAGAGTTTCCCTGCTAACCCAGGCTGATTCTTGTGCATCTCCAGTGGTTCTCATCCACCAGTGGGTCAAAGGGAGGAAGATGAAGAATATCATGATCTGCGTCCTTGACAGAGTGTTGCTATGAGTCAGAAGAAATTCCACAGCTGTGAGAAGTGAAATGATAATTCTGCAGTTGTTGAAGTGACATAATGATGGCACACAGATAAATGGCAGTGAAATCTAACAAAACACAGAAATAAGGAGAAAAACGTAATGTGAAGAAACACTCAGATCAAGAAATTCTAAAGAATTCTTACAAATCCAAAAGAAAAAATACATAATCTATTGTAAGAACAACCAAAATCATTTAACAAGCACTTCCCAAAATGGGATATTGAAATAGCCAATGAAAGTACCAAAAGATGACTAACATTTTTGTTAGTTGTTGAGTACCCTTGAGTTGGAACTGACCCATAACTGACCTATCAGTGAGTTTTCAGAGACAGTAAATCGCATGAGAGGAGATTGCCCATCTATCTCCCATTGAGCAGCAAGTAGATTCAAATCCAGTACTTTAGTGTTGGCAGCCCAATTCCTTACTACGCAACTACCATGGTAGCAGGTGTGGCATCCACTTCCTAAACAACATGCCTCTGGAAACTCTATGAACTTTGATAATTGTTGATAGTTATAGAAAGGTTTCAGGCTTTCTGTTCATAGGGTTGCTATGAG